ATGGACAATGCTAACATGACTCTCCTCTTATATCTCTTTATGCAAAGTCATGCGGCTGGAAATGGTGCTGCTCCACAGGTGTAGAGAACGTGTCCACGGAGGTGCTCTATGAACTTGGATGTGATGTGCAACGCGGCTACAAACTTTGAACTTGCATGTGATGTGTTATATGAATTTGTATGAACTTGTACGTGATGTGCTCAAGGAATTTGTATGAGCAACATGCATATATGCTTCTTGATATGAGATGTGTTGTTCTATTCTGCTATGAAGTTATATACCTCTTACATATGTATTTATTTTCAATTGCAGAGCTTAATGAAGAAATAAATTGTCAACAACATCTGTGGGACATATTTCCGATAGCACCACTCGGAAAAAGCTGCCATTGCCAAGAGGAGGCACTCGGCAGAGGGGCCACCTAACTGCTACTGTATACATTTCCGAGGGCCCAACCTCGGAAAAGAAAATTTTGCCGAGAGGCAGCCCTCGGCAGAGGTGACACCTGGCTGATACTACCAACTACATGTCTTTGCCGATAGCAAAAGTACCCGGCAAAAACTGCCACATGGCATTACCTATAAGTATCTAAGCTGTAGCGAGATCATTCTAAGGCCTCTCGGTAGACATTCTGTTGAGGAATCAAAAATGTATGCCGAGAACCTGATCGGGAGCTCTCGGCAAACTTACCCACGACGTCATGGAGCCGTCAACTGCAAACGGACATGCCACGTGTCACCTTATTGCGGTGAACCTACTCTTTAGTTCTCGGCGTATTGCACCATTACCGGGTCTTTCTTGATCGCTGAGTACCTTTTAGGGGTGTCTTGGCATTGGTATGTTTTTGCCGTGTGCTACACTTTGCCGAGCATGGTACTCGGCTGCCAAGATCCCACGGTTTAGCTCTCGGCGTGGATTCTTTTTCCAGTAGTGAGTCTTCTTCCAAATGAAGCTCAGTACTAGAAGAAAATTGTGAATTCAGTAGACAGATGAAGGCCATTTTTGTTTACTCAAATGGGCATAGCCGAATTCGCAATACTTGGCATAAGCAAAACAGAAACAACAAAGTCCATTCCTCAAACAAACAAACAAACAAATCTTAATTAACATGTGGAAATGGAAAGGATATTCAAACCCGCCAGGAAAACCCGCTGTCGATGCCTGATCTTGATCAAACATAGACTACGGGGCAAAAAACCTGGTGCGTCATACTATCCTATTACAAGCCAAACAATAGCAACAAACAGTTTAAGAAGTTCCGACAAAAGTAGTGCAGTTCAACCCGACCACTAACCAGCAACGCAATTATTCAGAAGTCCTGAGCCATCTTCAGAAGCACGGCACCACACTAGTGAGAAGAACTGCTGCCGGACTTGAGGCAACTAAAGCACGCCCAACGCCTCCATCTCGGTCCAGCGGGCTCAGAAGGAGCAGGCGTAGCAGCGGCGGCCTCACTGCTTTCTGCAAGACTAGCAACGTCGACTGTGTTCTGCAGGGTCTTTGGTGGAGTCGTCTCTGCTGACCCGTCCTCGGCTTCTTCGTGTTCCTCGGCCGGCTGAAAATAAACGAGGCAACTTGTGTTATTGGTGTGACTACTAATTTTCCCAGAAAAAAATCCCCTAATATCCCTCACACTAATAACTATTCGATGGTGCATAATCTAGATTCGTGCAGGCGAAATGCTTCAATGGTTCTCTAAATATTATTGCAGCAGACCTGTTCCTGTCGGTCTGCCACCTGCGATTCTTCCTCCTCCTTCTCGTTGATCGCCTGAGCTTGTTGTCCGCGCTGGTGATGGAGCAGACAAATGCCAAAACTGAGGCGAGGGACAGGACCGCTGGGGTGGACGTCGAGGACTGAGCACTTCTCCGCTGCATCAACGTCGACGTTGTTGGCTTCTCGTTGGTCGTCCGGCTGAAAAAACGCACAAGGTACTCATTTTAGGCAGCGTACGTCAAAAAGTGTAATAGATGCACCTTATCCACGTACTAGTACCTACCTTTTGGTCTGCCTTGGAGGAATCCGACGCCTGGCCTTCATGAGACTACATACAAGAGATTGATAACATAAATGGAAGATCGAGGAAAATTCAGAAACTTGAGGATGAGTGCAAGACATGCGCGGCATGCATGGCATGGTGATCATCCGATGGAGCACCTGATCTTGCTTCTTCTGCTCCGGATCCGGCTTTTGTTTGACGCGGTTGTCATCGTCGTCGTTGAACTGGAATGAGAAGGACCGACTGGCGACTATGCATGAGGCTTAAAAGGGAAGCTAGCTAGCAAGTAGTGAGTAAAGCAAGTAGTACCTCCTGTTCTGTCTCTTGGGAGCTCGATTCTTGGTTGTCGTCCTGAGCAGACGGACCAACACCCGTATTATGATCCAGAAGAGGGGAGGCTGGTTCTTTTATCTATAAAAATAAAAATATAAAAGCCAAAGCTGGTACACTGTCAGTGAATTTGGAAAAAACTCACACTAAAGGTCGAACCAGATAGGTACAAAAGCCTGTAGTAATACCGGATCTCCACCACGCCTTCCCATATCAAGTTTGGGATGGTTGGGATGATTGTCGATTGCTTGCCTCACCGCTGCCTCCATCTTCTCCACATCAGAAGCACGGGCACCACCCCAGCAGTCCATATAAGCGAAGACCCACCGGAGAGAAGGGAGGTTCCCCAGGGTACCAATAAAGTCAACATCAATGACGGCATCCTTCTTGTTCAAGTACCTCCCCGTGCCGAACGTAATGGATTCAAGGCTCCGCATGCTTCCCGGCAGAAACCAGAAAGGTGCATCTATCCCGCAGCTCCTCAACTTGGGGAACGCACCATCATGGAACTCGATGCCCTCTGGTCGTATCCACAAATCTTTCAACCTACAAAGCTCTGGCAAGCCCCACAGGTTGACCACATCCTGCTCCTCCATAGGGTAAGCCTGCATTTTTAGTTTGGAGAGGTTCGGAAGCAGCGAGGAATTAATCCACGCCGGGACCCTACTGAACTTGGTCGATATTGACAGATCACGGAGTTCCCGAGGAGGCTTGTAGCCTGCCCAGTAGGTATCTGCCTCCAATTCCGACCACCAGAGGCCCTCAAGATATTGACATTCTTTCCTTTCTTCTCCACAGGCAGGATCAGGCTTCGGTTTACGAGAGCACTAAAGTATCCATCTCCAATCTCAAATAACCCTCTCCCTCGCTCTTCACTGACAAAGCCTTCGGCCACCCACATCCATATCAATGTCTCTTTCATGATCAAAGCGTCCTCTCGGAATATGCTCAGATGCAATAGACAAGGCCTTAGATAACAAGGTAGATCATCATAGCTAAATAGTAATATCCTTCTCATGTCATCAATATCTCTAGTATCTCCATATCCAAAACCAATAGAGGTGTATACCATAGACCAATCCTCCACTCTTTTACCAACCAACAAACTAGCTATTGCAATGATAGCGAGCGGCACACCACCACATTTCTGTATAAATTTTTTAGCTACCTCAGAAGGTAGATCATCAGGGCAGTTCTCTTCACCACCAAATAATCTTTTATAGAATAGTGCTTTAGACAAATCATGAGAAAGTGGTTCTAGCTTGTAGACATCACCCGTGTTTGCTGCGACTTCGTGAATGCGAGTTGTTGTGATTACTCGACTTCCACGATTGTTGTCCAACAAAGCACATTTGATTGTTCCCCATGATTCCAGATCCCATATGTCATCGATAATGATGAAGTACCTATCCACATGACAGAGCAAGAGCCATGTGTTAGTTAGTTCAGAACTATCTAGAGTGTCAATTAGAAGAACAAGATGCATGCCAGCCACTTGGATAATGAATATACATGTATATGTGATCATTCAGTCTACAAAAAAGGTGCAATAAACAAGGAATGAATGCATGAATTTGACTGGTTTTATTTATATCAACAATGGTTCTCATTAATCCCATTTTCGAACTAAATATAGTTTTGCATTGGAAGCTGTTATATTAGATTTATTTCTGAATTCCGTTGAGAATAGTTGGTGGTTGTTCACAACCTAATGATAGAAAAAAAGCAGGAAAACAAGAAAAAATGCTTTGTTTTTAAAAAAATACATCATGATTGAATAGGCTGTCCAAATTAAAATTCAAAACATCTCAATTGAAATTAACCGCAGCTTTCTAATATCTTGCTTCAAATTCAATCTAATTATGACGTTGTGCACCACCTAGCTAATAAAACTCAAAGTCTATATTAGTAGACTACAAATTATTGGTATTAGATATGTATTTGTCACCAGTTCCATGCAGATGGCATCCATCATAACATATAGACCCACATTGTGTCAATACATCTAGAGCCTTAAGTCCAACATATCCTCTATTCACAAGATTATACTCCCATTGTTCCTAAATATAAGTCTTTTTAGAGATTCCACTATGGACTACATACAGAGCAAAATGAGTGAATCTACACTCTACAATAAATCTTATACTCCCTCTGTTCCTAAATACAGTATATGAAAAAAAGAATTCATTTTGCTCTGTATGTAGTTCATAGTGGAATCTCTAAAAAGACTTATATTTAGGAACAATGGGAGTATATATGTAAATTGAGATAAATGTGTCATTAATTATTCCAACTATATAAACATGATTGAGGTGGACACGCTTCGAACCTGACATTCTGAAGTTGTTCTCGGACTTTTTCGACAAGTTGTCTTTCATCCAATGTGGCTACATCGCTCGCACGCACGCGCAGTTCTAAGAGGATGTCCTTGAGAACTTTGTTCACTTCAGGTTTTTGACCCACCGGAACAAAAGCTTTGTGAACATATTGCGCTTGAAGACTATCGTACACTGCCTTGGAAAGAGTTGTCTTGCCGAGTCCTCGAGGTCCGACAATAGAGACTATCTTGAGCTGCTGATTCGACACATCCCCGTCACCAAGTGCCAGCCTCTTGGTTAGCTCGACCCGAGCGGCTTCAATGCCGACGAGCTCCTGCTGATCCTTGTACAAACTACAAAGCCAGCATACGAGGGTCAACCTTGGATCTGCTAGGTGGATTGACAACAGCACCGCCGACTTGGCATCTGGCACGCCGGGCAGCCACCTCTTCGGCAAGTTTCTTGAGAGCCTTAATGTCATTGGCGATCTGATGGCGACCGTTGGCTTTGGTGAAATAGCCGGTCATCTTCTCCATTAGCCATTTGAGCTTGTTGGAGTTGGGTGCTGGATCAGATCCCTCGACGCACACCGGGAAGTTGTCAACGACGTCCTCCATGTCGTACGACAGCTCCCTCAGTTCATCTGCCCATTTCTTGAACTGCACATTAAGCCGGTCCCGTGGTACCTCGGCCACCTTTATAAGGGCAATGTGAATGCTCTCCATCTCTTTTTTGAGGGACTCAATGTCTTCATTGACGCCCTTCTGTAGCTTGTACTCACTCGCGAGCAGCTCGCCCAGCTTAAGGAGTAGTCTTCCCATGACACCGGTCACCAACTCCATGGTTGGGTGACTTGGATCGGATCCTTTAGGAAGAAAACCTATAACATCCATTGGAAGTTAGTACAAGACAGGAATCCGTTGTAGAAAACCCCTCCCAAAAAAAATGTTCTCTCCACCGGCCACCACCTTCTGCGTCAATGAAAGCAAATCAATCAGTTGCTGCTTACCTGTATAGAACCAAGCAGAGCATAGCTGAGGAAGGCAAGCAGCTAGCAGATCCAACACCAAGGAGCTCTCTGAAAAGACCCCCAAGCAGCTAGCATGTCAGCAGCAGCGGCAGGCTCTTCACTTCGGCAACCGCCTCCAAATGCTAACTAGGTCTGCGCGCCGCCCCTGCGGGCGTGCTTGCTGGGAGCGGGACGAGACGAGCAAGCGTGGGACGGCTACACAAGCGCCATGGTTGGTGGCTTTTGGTGGAGCAAGAGCAATGGTGGTGAGAACGAGATCGAGATGCCTCTAACTCGTTCTTTAGATCTGGCCGCTTTGATGAATGATGAGGTTGCACTGTGACTGTGGGCGGACGGGTCACTCCCGAGACTGTGCATGCATGCATTATTGGTCTAAAGCTCCCCGGAAGCACGTCGGAGGAGGCTGCCAGCTTGGTCCCGCTCCCACAGGCAAAAACCCTGTGTTTTCTGAACCAAGCTGTAGACGGGACGGGAGGTGCTCCGTCTTCTCAGCCACATCTTTTTACCCTGATATTTCCCCCTCCTCTTGCTCTTTCACTTCCATGCACACTGTATACGCGCGTACTATCTCTCATACATTAGAGCAACTCCAACGGGCCGACCCAAACAGACGGCGTTTTTGTCCGTTTGGGTCGGCCGCCTGCCCGCCGTCCGCCCTCTTTTAGTTTTGGGTCGGCAGTGCGTCCAACGTGCCGACCCATTTCATGACCATGCGCGCTTTAGATCATGCTAGCGGCCATGTCGTCACCCTGGTTTTGACGCTCCAGCGCGCACAGGGGAAAGCGGCCTAGCGCGCGCGGGAAAGGTTCTTGCGCGCACCGCGACCGGCGCTCGTTATAAGAAGGCGCTCCCTCCACACTCTACCCCGCTCGTTGTCCGCCGCCCACTCGTCTCGCCTCTGCGCCACCATGTCGATCCGCCGTCTGGGCGCTTCGGATTTTTGCGGAGTCCGCGAGCGCCGCTCCGACGCCTTCTTCTCCAAGATCTGGTTTCGCGAGAAACGTCTCATCCTCGGCACCTTCGACACCGCAGAGGAGGCGGCCCACGCGCACGACGCGGCGGCGCGGCGCCTCCTGAGGCCTCGTCGGGATATGAATTTTCCCGTCGTGTCGACCCAGCGGGCGCAGGATCTGGCGTCTCTCTCGCGGCTTTTCACCGACGAGGATCGTCGTGTCCACCGAAGGCGGCAGCGTCGCCTCGCCATCGCCGAGATGGACGTGGAAGCCATGATGCTGTGACGCGAACGCTTCCCGCAGGACATCATCGATGAGCGCCAGTTCTACAAGCAAAGAAGGTTGGAGAGAGGCGCGAGGAGGACGGAGCGAGCCGCCTATAGGGAGGACAAGCGTTCGCGGAAGCAGGCCGCTCAATTGAAACCGAAGCTACGAGAAACATAGGGTTGGGACTTTGAAGACGAGCCGCATGGATGCCTACATTTAGACGTCGGAGGAGGACATTACTGTGTTGGAGTCAGAAAGCGACGAGTAGTGGTCTTTTTTTTATCTTTGTATGTTAAACTATCTATGTATCCATTTTATCGGAAAAATGGCCGGCGGCGTCGGCGACGAAGCAGGCGGGCGAGGGTTTGCTGTTTGATGTGAAGAGGCCAATCCAATGTGCCACCGACCAGTGAGCCCGGTGAGAAAAGAGAACGAACCCCTGCGTCCGTCTTGTATCCGCGCCAACGCAAATCCGGCTAAAAAATGAACCGAAAATGGGTCGGCAGGCGGACGAAAACGGACGTACGTCCATTTAGATTGACGCGTTGGATCGACTTTTTCATCTGCACCAATCCAAAAACGACCATGAACAAAATGGATCACCCCATTTAAGTCGCTCTTATTGCTGGCCTTCTATCTCAGCAAGCACGCCAGAAGCGGCAGTGAGCACGGACGCAGCTTCTGGAGGTGTGTCGCTCAAGTGCACCCCGTGACGATGAGGATGAGCTTGGACTGAATGCGTTTCCCCTTGTGGTTTCGTGTGAAATCAGGTCCCACTCCCACCGGTAAGATCAACTCCATCGCGCGATCTTAAACGGACGTTCGCTTTGCCTGGACTCGGTCCGTTTGCCCCCATCCTGTCCGCCAGGGCCAAAAATGCCCATATTTTCAAATCAAAACAAGTTTGCACATCCAATTACTTTTTGTCTGAAAATAAAAATAGTTTTACAACCCAATCGAAATTGTCTCTAATAAAATAATTTTACAACCAAATCGAAATTGTCTTGAATGAACATAAAATGAACCAATACATCTATTGATTGCCAATGTGACCCCACACGTGCTCAACCAAGTCATTTTGAAGATCCAAATGAGTGTACCAATCACACAGCTCACGATGGAATTGGACAAACTGTTCAAACGTGGCCGGTTCTTGGTGCAGGGGCTCAACATTTTTACCTTGATAATCAAATCCTTGGTCGAAGATACTGTCGTGCCCATCGTGGTACGTCGTCGGCGGTCGTATTCCCTCTGCCGCCGGCTACGACGGCGACGGCTAAACCTCCTCCGATCGACGGCCAAAACTAAGGCAAAAGCGCATGCGTGGTGACGGCCATGTCGAGACGTGGTTTGGTATGGACGGCCGAGGGCTGCGCGGTGAGGAGGCGGCCGGAGAATAGCAGCGGCGCCGGCGACAGGGCGGGGCGAGGGGGTGGAGTATACCTGGCCATGGGCCGGGCCGGGCCTAAAAAAGCCCACTGCAGAAAACTGAGGCCCGAGCCCTCCCAGGCCCTACCATCGGGCCTACTTTTCAAGCCCAACTCCGGCCCATCTAGTAAAAAGCCCTGAAAAGCCCTTAGGGCTTAGGGCCATGAGCCGGGCCTCTTCCTTAATATGCCAAGCCCAAGCCCGTCCAGGCCCGTGCTGGTGGGCTCAAAACTCAGGCCCAAGCCCGGCCGACGGGCAAGCCCGTCGGGCCTAGGCCCTGGATTTTAGGGCCGGGCCTGGGTGGGCCGGAGATGGCCAGGACTAGGGTGGACGCATTGGAAGCGAAGGAACTGCTAGTGTCCCCGACAGGCGGGCCACGGGGGGACAAGGGCGTGTGGCAAGCCCATCCGCGCGATGTCTGTTTCATCCCAAACTCGACGCAAGTTTGGGTGGGGATGGGTCGAATACGGACGAAATCCGGACATTTGTCTGTTTGAGGTCGCACGTTGGGCAGCGCCATTCGTTCGTTCCCAAATAGAGGCACCCGGACAAGATGGGGTCGCGCGGTGGAGTTGGCCTAAAATTTAGAACCAAACTTTCGAATTTTAGAACCAAACTTTTCAAGTTTAGCAGGGCCATGAGACTTTGATCTCAGCGCATTATGCCATGGGGAATGAATGGGCGCTAATGGGACATTGGTCTACTCTGGACAGACTGGACTCTCGAATTCGTGCTAATACGTACACAACGAGCATCATTTCTTTGGGCGTAGTCAACTGTCGACCGGACTTTTTCTAACATCGTTTTTTCGCACTGTTTTTTTCGTAATTTTTGAACTGTTTAATGAAAAATAATATACCGTTACATATCTATTGAATAGGAGAAACTTTTTCATGTTTGGTGGTTTTCCCAAAATCATTACGGCTTATAAACAAAATTCAAGAAACAAAAAATTCATCAACTCTTTTTATGAAAGAAATTTTCAAACTATATAATGTGCCGTTGGAAAGCTATCAATTAACCCAAACATTTTCATATACAACAGTTTTCCAATTTTTACGGTTTTTAAGAGCAGTTTCCAAAAAAACTAACACAAATTTGACCTTTTTTACCCTAACTGCTAGTACACTCCACGGAATAGCTACCTGGTCTTTGTTGACGAGCTTTTTATGCTGAGTGAAGAAACTATTTTTTTCTTCTTCTTTTTCCATAGTCAAGCTAACCGTGGGGAATGAAAAATAGTTGTGGATTGCGGCAGTTTAGCAGTAAACTACCGGGACTGAAGATATTGAAATTTTCTTTAATTTTTTTCCCAGGTCACACTAACTGTGAGGACTAAAGAATTAGTGACCTTGGTATTACCCTTTAAGAAAAATGATGAAATAAAAACAAAATGAGATTTTGTAAGCAAGAATGAATTGGTGGCATTGACATTATCCTTCAAGAAGAAAGAAAATGAAAAAACAATCTAAAACAAACAATGAAAAATTCACACAATTTACACAAAATGCCTTTTTTTTAATAATATGCAAGAATAAACATATAATAGTGTAATTTTCTAAAAAATATCCTAAAAAGCAATGCATTAGTCGCATTTGTATTACCCTTAAAAAGAAACAAAATGAAATAAACACTAAAACATAATCAAAAGAATGATGTTTCCTAAAGGAATGAATTATGGTATTACCCTTATAATGACATTGGCATTACCCTTTAAGAAAAAAGAAAATAAGAAGAAGAAGAGGAAGAAGAATGGCAAAACAGTTCCGGTTATTAAAGTGGGTTATCCAAAACATTTTAACTTTACGCATGTACGAAAATCTGGTTAACTGAATTAAACTGAAAACAATTCCGAAAAGGCGAAGCAATAAGATGATTAAACATGGTTTCCATGCTGGTTTTCCAGAGACCTCAATCTACCTTATTTAGCCCAACCAACTTCCCATATATATCCAACTATGACATGGTGATGATCTTATTAATTTCACTACAAATCTGACACGTAACCACAGTGTAGACAAGGAAAACAAAAGGATAATCAGGAACCAGCACACATGCATCGAATAATTTCTGTACTGGAGCCTGCTTTATTGAAGTTTAACCGCATAACTGGTTTGCGCAATTGTACAACCCCACGCTTATTCACAGTAGTTATATTTTCAGT